CTTAATCTCGTTGGGACACGTTGAATCATTAGAGACGGCGGCGGGCAGGGCCGGGGGGCTCCGGAGGAAAAAACCGGTTTGGAACAGAGTGGGAAGGGGAAGGAGCCGCGGGCCGGGCTTACGGCTCCCCCCGAGAGCAGCGGGGAATTAAAGAAGACAAAACGCGGGTCGGGGGGCTGCGGGCTCCCGGCTTTGTGCCCCTACCCCCAGTGCCGCCGTCACTACGGGCAATAATTTCCAAAATCTCATTAAAGCGCACTTATCAAAGCCCTAACATGTGCCCTCCGGCTCTGCCATAACCCCGCCGGCCCCCAGGGAGCGGGGTTGGGGGGGGGGTGGGACGCGAAATCCCAATTTCTGTGACAATTCGGCACCTCGGGAGCTTGGCTGCGGGGCAGATCCGCATCTACAGATTCATAAGGAATATCGGTGAATTGGAAGGATTTCTCCGCCTTTGAAGCTTCGGGGGGAAGGAGATAGAGCAATCGTGAGAATAGGGAAGCTCATTTAGATTCCTATGTCCTGGAGAAGAATTAATTGTCTGCTGGAGAAAGGCAGGCCGGCGTTGGGATTTTGGGGGGCGGAGGGGATTTTTCCCTGGAGCTTCCGTAGGGAGTGCTGCTGCCGACTCCCTTCCTGCGTGCGGGGCGATCGTCCCCCTTTTTTTCCTCCCCTTTTTTTTTTTTTTTTCCCCCCCTTTCCCCTAAAACATCCTTAACGCCTTTGCTAATGCCATTTTTTCCAGCCAGGAAACGAGCCGGGAATTTCAGCCCGCAGAAACTCCGTTGCAATTAAGTTCCCGTAAGCGCCGCAGGATTCGGGAGGCTCCGGTTCACGTTGATTTTTAGGAATATACGAATTTTTAAAAATTTTATTTGTTTATTTTTTTGCTCTCCCTCGCTCCCCGTCCGGGCTGCCAGGCAATCCCGTGGCGTGGGCTCCGTGCCCACGGCCTGGCGTGGTCCCCTCCGAGCCGGAGCCGCTGCCGAGCAGCAGAATCTCCTCCGCAGCGCTGCAAAACGCGATTTAAAGCCCTCCTTGCGCGGCTCTCGTGGGGTGATTTGGTCGCGACGGCTTTTCCTCCGATTTTTTTTTTTTTAATTTTGTTTTTTTTTTATATATTTTCACGGCCGGGGGAGAGCTGTCCCCTTTGCTGTGGCGGCTCCTCTTGCCTCCTTTTTTTTTTTTTTTAAAAACAAAGAGGTTGTTCCTTACAGGGATGCTCCCGAGGTGAAGCTCCTGGCGACAATTCTCAGGACACGGGCTGCTCCTCCCTGTCCCCATTCATTCCAAGTGGATCTCATTCGAGGAGATAAAAATCAACCTGTCCCTTAACAAAGGCTTTGTGCGGGCTCCGCTCAGCCGGGCCGAGCCGCGAGGTGCAGCCCCAGCTCCCGCGTGTTTATTTGTTTGTTTGCGGGCTGGAGAGGAGGCAAAACCAATATCTCCCATCTTTGGCTCCATCGAACAATAATAAATCGATCCACTTGTCGGCCGCTCCCCGAGCGGGAATGGGGATGGAGACGGGCAGGGAGGGGAGGGAGAGCTGCTCAGCGCCTTTCCTGCATTCCTCCCCGCCGCAGATATTATTATTATACCCGGCGATACCATATTTATCTATATATATATATATATGTGGTATATATAGATATATATTTGCTGTACCTGCGTGGGGCCGCGCTGGGCGGAGAAGGGAAAGGGAGCTGGCTCAGAGCAGAGAGGGCCCTGCTGTCCCTTCCTTCCCCGATCCCAGAAAAGACAAAAATCAGCTTGAACCCCTTTCAAAAATCAGCTTGCAGGCGAGTGGGAGCCACTCGCGTGGATCGCTGCCGCTTGTCGCCAGGGCCACCGCTCAGCCCGGCCAACGAGCCGCGGCCTGCGCTGAAACGGGGCGAAATGAGAACGAAAATTGAAATTAAATTAAATTAAATTGGAGGCATCCCCGCCACGCGTGGGACCAGCCGGGGGGAAGGGGCACAAGGCGCCGGGATCGCCCCGGCTCTGTCGCGACAGCCGCGGCGCTGCCGTCGGGTGTTCACCCCGGAGCGGCCCCGCGACCCCTCCTGACGTCAGAGGGCGGCTCTGACGTCACACCCCCCACCGCCGGTGACGTCACGGTGGTCCCGGGCCGTCCCTGCCGTGCTCGGCGTGGGGAGGGAAGGAAGGAGGGAGGGATGGAGGGATGGAGGGGGCCGCGACCCCCGGGGCTGTGTCCGGCCGGCAGGGCTCTGCGGGTGTGGGACTGTTCTTCATCATCATCATCATCATCACCATTATTATTATTAATTATTCCTGCCACTTCCAGCCCCGCGGCTGCCCCAGGGGATGCTCTGCCCTCGGCTTCTGTCGGGGATCTCCGTCCCGCCGCTATCGCGATTATCGCCCTCCTCCCCCGCTCTCTTTTTTTTTCACCCCAGCTTTTTTCGGGTGGGGATTTAAAGCCCACACGAGCCCGGGGGGCCGACTAAATCCAGGATTCAGTGGGAATCGGTGCGGGAGCGGGCGGGGGCCGGCCCGAAGGGGTTCCCCTCGATATCGAGGAGGACTCCGCAATGGATGAAGAGATAGCCATTGAGCGCGGCTGAATACCATGACAACTAGGAACAACCTCAGATTTATTCCCAACAGTTAGGGCGCGCTGAAAGAGGGCGTCAATCACGTATTATTTCGCCACTGAAATAAATGCAAAAACTGCGCCGAGACAAAGGGTTCCAACAGGAGCCGGACATTTGTCTACATTGCGGACATTGTCCCCAGCTTAGCCGTCGGGTTGTATTTGTGTTTGCGCGGGGCCGACCACCCAGGATGCGCGCAGGGGCTCGCTTAAAAAAAAAAAAAAAAAAAAAAAAAAGGGGGAAAAAAAAAAAAAAAAAAAAAATCCCCGCGCATTGTCAGCCACATCACATACTTTATGGGAGGCAGGCTGGGGGCTGGGGGCTGGAAAAGTGGGGGGAGAGGAGGGGAAGGTGCGGATCCATTGATGGATGGGCGAGGAGGAGGAGGAGGAGGAGGAGGAGGAAGGCTGAGGCGGCGGCTCCGGTGGCGGTGCGGCTCCTTCCTGCCCCCAGCCCGGGAAGGGAAACTCGGGCAACTTTTCCTGCCCGGGAATGAGGGGGGGGGGGGGTTGTGCGGGAAGCCCCTTCCCGGATTGTCCGAACCCGCGCGGGGCTCGGGGGAAGCCGAGGGATGGGAAACGAGGGAAAAGGAATGGGAAACAAGGGAAAAGGAAAAGGAACGGGCAAGAGGTGGAAAGGGAAGGCAGAGAAGGGGAAAAGGAAGACGGTGCGGGCCCTGCCCCGTGAGGGAGCGCACGGCCCGGGTTCCGTGGAGAGCGGGAGGAAGGAAGGACGGAAATGAAAATCAAAGTTGGCGGTGGGCACAGAGAGGTTGGGGGGGGTCTCTGCGCCCCGCTCCGGGCCCCCAGCGCCGCTCCCAGCGCGGTGACACCGGGGCTGCCGGCCTTCCCTCGGGAAGGAACCCCAGCTTTGCGCCTCTCCCTCCTTCCCCACGTCCTGAAAAAGAAAGGGGAAAAAAAAAAAAAAAAAAAAAAAGAAAAAATTGGAAAAGGAAAAAAAAAAACCAATTCAGTGGTGTACGAGTCCATCGAATGATCCCAACGGGCCGCGTTCATTCCCCTGGAAGGAGGTGGCAAAATCAATGAGACCTCTTCAAACAAGCGCACGCTGCCCCCCTCCCCAATAATCGCCTCCCGGATCTCGCCGGGTCGCGCCTGGCGATCGCGTTTTGCCCGTTCGCTTAATTTCGGAGCAAACTAGAATCAATTACTCGCTGTTTAATTTCCAGCGCTCATCCCTAAGCCCCAACCAAAATATTGACCTAGGCGGGTTAGATAAGTTGGGCTCTTGCCATCTGAGCCGCCTCGGTCCCGCGCCTGTGGGAGCGGCCCCCGCCGCAAATTATTAGTATTATTACGATTATTAGTATTTCAAGTTGTGGGTTTTTTATTTCCCCTCCCCTCGTTCGGAGGAGAGCGCGGGTGGAAAAAACGCGCGTGAGGAGCGCGTCGGGCTGGTGCGGAGCTCTTTGTATGTAAATAGTGCCCTTAAAAAAAAAAAAAAAAAAAAAAAAAAGAAAAAAAAAAAGCTGGGAAGCCGCCCCCTCCCTCCTTCCCTCCTTCCCTCGCCCCCTCCCTCCCTCCCCCCCCGCGCCGAGGGCCCTCCCCGCGCCGGTAATTAACTGACACGTTATACCACTCATCACCAATGGTGGAAGCTCGGAGCTCGCCCAAAACCCGCAATTTCACATCTGCAAACACTGTCTTCATCCACTTGACTTCCAAGACCCGCCCACACGTGGCCAACCTTTCCTGGGTTTAATGTAGGTTTTTTTTCTCGCTCCTCTCGGCAGGTTCATGTGTGGGGACCAGCCTTATATGGACTCCTCGCTCCAGCAATGGCTCGGGATTTTCCAGCGGCAGGCGCGGGTTCGGCGCGGCTGAACAAGATCCAGAAGTGATTTTTTTTTTTNACAGAAACAGAATCTCATTGTTAAATTTGTTCTCCTACGTCGGAAAGATAAAAAACAAAAAAAGATGCTGAAGTGGCCTGTGTGAGCTGAATACATTTCACTCCCCAGAGCTGGAGAGAAATGAACTCTGTTCCTGCTGCAGAAGCCTCACTGGATAGAATTCTCTCTTATTTTTTTTTCTTTTTTTTTTTTTTTTCCTTTTTTTTTTCTTTTCCCCCTGGAGTTACAAACTATTCCCCGAAACCAGCTGCTGCTCCCCGCTCTCGGAATTTTCCCCCGTGGCACAACCACCACCACTGGCACCGCAGAGAGCCGTCGCTGCGGCCGCTTCTCCTCCTCCTCCCGCACAACCCCCCCACCACCACCCCGCCGCCGCTCATTTTTTCTACAAATCCGTGTTATTCCTGTTATTTTTTCTAATTTTTTCCCCCTTTTCTCCGCGCGTGCCGTGCCTCCCCCCCCCTCCCCGTCCCTCCCCGTGTCCCTGCGCGGTGTCGCTGTCGCCGCTCGGCGTGTGCGTGCCCAGCCGTGACCCGGCGGCTCGGCCAAGCGGCGGCTCCAACTTTCCCAGGCGGAATTTGGCCGGAACATGTCTCTGACCAACACAAAGACGGGCTTCTCGGTGAAGGACATTTTGGACCTCCCCGACACCAACGATGAGGACGGCTCGGCGGAGGGCGGCGAGGAGGAGAGCGAGGCGCCCGAGCCGCCCCGGAAAGCGGGAGTTTTGGGACAAACCCCCTTGGACACTGTTCCGACGCTGCCTTTGAAGAGCCCTTTCTATGATAACAGCGATAATCCTTACACGCGCTGGCTGGCGAGCGCCGAGGGCATCCAGTACTCCCGTGAGTGCCGGGGGGACGGGGCAGCGGCCACCGGGGGGGCGTGGGGGGCGATGGATGCGGCGGGGCGAGGGGGGATGGATGGATGAGTGGATGGATGGATGGATGAGTGGATGGATGGATGGATGGATGGATGAGTGGATGGATGAGTGGATGGATGAGTGGATGAGTGGACGGATGGAGAGTTTGCTCTCTCCGCCTCTGCGTCCATCCCGTGGCGGGAGGGGTGCGGGCGGCGGCCTCGGGGCTCGCCCCCCGGTCCCCGCTGACCGGGCACGGCTTGTCCGCAGTGCACGGGCTGGCGGCCGGCGGCGGCGGCCAGGACCCCTCGGCCAAATCGCCGGAGCCGTCGGCAGACGAGTCGCCCGACAACGAGAAGGAAGCGGCGGGCGGCGGGGACGCGGGCAAGAAGAGGAAGAGGAGGGTGCTCTTCTCCAAGGCGCAGACCTACGAGCTGGAGCGGCGCTTCCGGCAGCAGCGGTACCTGTCGGCTCCCGAGCGGGAACACCTGGCCAGCCTGATCCGCCTGACCCCCACGCAGGTGAAGATCTGGTTCCAGAACCACCGCTACAAGATGAAGCGGGCGCGGGCCGAGAAAGGTATGGAAGTGACTCCTCTCCCCTCGCCGCGGCGGGTGGCCGTGCCGGTGCTGGTCAGGGACGGCAAGCCCTGCCACACGCTCAAGGCTCAGGACTTGGCAGCCGCCACGTTCCAGGCGGGCATCCCGTTCTCGGCGTACAGCGCGCAGTCCCTGCAGCAGCACATGCAGTACAACGCGCAGTACAGCGCGGCCGGCAGCCCCCAGTACCCCACAGCGCATCACTTGGTGCAGGCGCAGCAATGGACCTGGTGAGGTAACCCCCTCCCCAAAAAAAAAAAAAAAAAAAAAAAAAAAAAAAAAAAAAAAGCCGAGGGAACGACAGAGAGAGAGAGAGAAAGAGAGAGGAGACAGACTGATGCTCCGGAAATTTAAAAAGGAAAAATGAAAAAAAAAAAAAAAAATCGAAACTGCGGGGGAAGGAATGGCGAGGGAAACGCTATTATTATTATTATTATTATTGCTATTATTATTATTATTATTATTATTAATTATTATTATTATTATTAATTATTCCTGCCACTTCC